CTATTCGAACAACAAGAGAGATTAAACTACGAACCATGAAGAATTATGAAACGTTCTGCACGAAAATTCTCTTGGCTTCAAAAGTTGAACTACGCTTCCTAGTCCAAAGTAATTATATAAAGTAAATTTCTTTGAGAAAATGATTAAGGTATATTTTGATATGCTGCATAAAATGAGTGTAAACCTAATTTTCTTAAAAATTAACAGGATTACGTTCAAATAAAAAGTAATTATTTAGAATTCATTTTTTTGAAAAATTGTTAGTACATAATTCAGTTGACATTTTACTATAATATCTTAGTCTTTCTATTGTAACAATCGAGTAACAGATGTCATTTTTAGTTTAATAAATATGTGAATTATGATTTTTATTAAATAATCTGTACATAGAATGATTTATTCCAAATTACTTGAAGCCGAATCGCGTAATATACATGACGTCAATGACGTTATGGTACGTATGTACGTGGTATCGTAAAATGCACCGCTTATATAAGACAAAGTGGATTAATCAACGATATTTATTACGTTTAAATTGGCTCCTTTTCTTATTTTACTTTTAGTTAATTAATTAAAATTCAAAATATTATCAAAAATATATAAAAAAATTATATTATTTAAAACTGAAAACATATTATTTCCTCAATTTAATTTTAGTCTGCAACGGCATAATTTGTTAAAATTGTATTTGCAAAAAAAAAGTTTTTGTCATAAAAAAATCAGTCAGTATATAAAGGAGAATCATTAGATTACTTTTTTATACGTACATTTATGTTAGTTTTTTTCTAATCATTAAGTTACTGTTTGATGAAAAATTGTTTAGAACATTTTAAAAAATGAATTTTTAAGGTAAATTTAAAAAAGAACAATTTCAGAAGTTTGTTTTCTCAAGTACCCGCTACTTTACAGAATCTTCTGGCAGTAGTCCTCTTGAGACAGGTAAACGAATCTTTGCGTTAGAAAACTGGCTTAATGCACACTGCGAGTAAGCACCCCCATAGAATTGTTCCTGAACTCTCTGGTGGTGAGAGAATGCATATAAACAATTGTTTTCTATTCGGCCTCATTCATTCTTACCCTTCTTCAAGCATTGTACAATGTAGAATAGAAAACATTTAAAGTAAAGATAAAAAATATGTCAACTGCTCTGGCAGAGTGTTTCTTTAGAGAGTGAAATGAACATGAGATATTATATTATACTTTTACATAATTTTACGATAAAAACAAATATATTCGTAAATACTATATGTATATTTGCTAATTTATTATTAATAGTCGTTTTTGTTAAGCTTTTATCGATTTCGATGCACGTGAAGTGAAGTTCAAGTACTCTACTGATTTACCAACTTTTATTCTATTATAAAAGTAAGTTTTTTCGATCTGACAAAGAAAAATTCAAACGAATATCTAAAATTTTATACCTTAAAGAACGTTTTCAAGACTGTATCAATTAAACTGTAATTTTTATCACAAGGCGGATAGCACTTCAAACTATCTTCTAGTCAATAGAAGCAACGTTATTGATTACGTTAGTGAAATAATAAATGTATACCAGAGGCCAGAATCGCTATTGTACTGTATTGTGATGGTCTCATGTACTCTCGTTCCTTTGTGGCTATTTCGTGCTGACTGGTTAATGTAATATTCACGTTTTCGTCAAGTGTCGCGGTCAAGTACGCATGCGAGTAGGTATGAACTAGCCATGAAGCCTGGCTGCATCCGATCCTGTATACAATAAGATAGGTAATCAGGATTCTCCTGAAAGTGTTTCATCGTCTTTATAGTCTCCATGTGTATTATATTGATGTATCCAGAAGTAAAATCGAAAATCTATATTACTATCTTTCATTCAAAAATAGTTTTAATTTAATTTATGCAATTTTAAGTAAGTTATTTAAAAATATTGTATTGTCGTTATCTGGGACAACTTTTTGTCACAGGTTTTGTCTCAGGTGGAGTATTGTAAATATGGTGATGTAACGCAATGTACATAACCTGCATATTAATTACATACTTTGTTTAGTTTGTAAAAATGGTCTGAAATACTAAAAATGTCAATATAGGTCTGAATACTAAAAATATCAATACGTAAATATAGTAAAATATCATAAGCCGATATCATTAATGTAGGTATATATGTTCAACCTACAAATGCGCGTCTTAAGACGCAGACTCGATCAGCTGCTTGTATGTAAGATCTGCTAATTTATAATTATTGATCAAAAATGTATCAGAGACCAACATCTGCGATTTACCAGATGCTCAATTGTAAACACTCGTGTCTACTTCATTCAGTTTATATGATCCTGGTACCCCTGTCCACCATAATTTTCTAATCAAGAGAGAGTGAAACTTACATGCGAATAAGCTGTCGCTAATACATAAAGCCTAAAAACTATTTTAAAATAAATTTTGTATTTACAAACAAGTAAAAGTTATAATATAACAATTTCTATTATAATTAGCAAGTGACATTTTAGCATGTTCTACGATAAAATTCATTACAATATTATTATAAAACCGATATAATTAAAAATCGTCATTATAATACAAAATGTTAAATTACAATTTTTATTTGCATGCAAATAAAAAATTGATTTTAAAATAATCTCTAGGATCGAGGCATTAATGGTAGCCTACTCGCGTGAGTTTTATTTTTTGAGAAAAATGTGGCGGTCAGGAGGAAAGGGAGATTAATTTGCATGTTAAAGAATGGTAAATGTAAGGAAAGGGGTGTTTGGTGAAATTCGAGTGAAATAAAAGCTTAATTTACTCAAATATTTATCAGTGCAGACAACTGAAATCAGCGACGAGTCGATAGAAGATCAATTGGTTAGGAGCAATCCAAAGCTTCAGTGTCTGTGGCAGTAGCAGCAGCATTGTGGCGCGGAGGAAGCGCGCACATATTCCTGGCATAATCGCCTTGGAATTTAATCTGGCATGGCTTCTCTGGTACGTGGAGTGCATAGTTTATTCGTCTCGTAGGGAGCTCAGTTCAGTTAAAACCCCCTCTTTCCACTTACCCACCATTGCTCCAACCCATCGCCATCTCATTCCATCCCTTTCCATTTTGCCTCTCATCTAATCGCACGCGGCTATAGATTCAGTAGACGTGTCATAGAACTTGAAGCGAATAGCAAAACTGATGTGAATATTTTATAAGAGAGTATACAGCTATATAGGTGTTATCACTTTCATCGTCGACGAAGACGTCGTTTGTTGCGCGGTTTGGACAGTAATGAGTGTGTTGTAGTAGTATAATGCAAAATCATCGAGCGAAATGTAGCTCATTCCCCATTGATAGCTTCCAATAGCACAATAGTGAAATATTATTTCATGTATGCAATTGCGGTTGCAAGCAATAAAAAAAATTAATGGACTTTCATAATTTCCTTTCTTGATTTTTAGTAACTACAGCAAGAAGATCAGCTCTTAGTTTCAATTTGCTTGGCAAAAAACAGAGAAGTTGATTCATCTTTTATCTAATGACTAGAAAATATATAAGTAAGGCGTTCTCTTATTATTTCAGCAATCACCATTGTGGTACTGCACCACTGCAGCGCGAATTCGTCCACCTAGTCCGATGATTTAGTTGCACTTATCGTAGCGGCCTTGGCGCCTGACGACTCTCATCTGTGCACCTATGCGTGCCGAGTAATTCAATTGAATGACGATTCTAAATAGGCTTCCTCTCGCACACCTTTCTCTTCTCCGCATCACAAGAGCAAGGAAATTGAATATCGAAAAATTATACGGAGAATGACGAGGAACATCTTTAAATGTGTAATAAAAAGAGCTTGCCTGTTTGAGTTTTTCCATAGAAATTCACCCAGGATAAGTGCTTTGAAGTTAGGCATTTTCTTCTTTAATAAAGTAGTAAGAATCTTCCAGGCCAGCCTGACACTTATTAGCAGCATAATTGTCTATCTGACCACTTCTTTGATGCACTAAAGGCGTACTATACGTAAAACTCTACCTCTAGGCAAGCCCGACAATAGGTACTCGTGAACACCGAAGATAAAGTGCATATACGAGATGGCTTTTTCTTGCAGATAGCAGTGGTCGCTAAGTGAGCAGAAAACTTTTCTCAGTTGAAATTTATCCGTCATAGAGCATAAATGACTATAAGAGAAATAGCTGGATAAAAAGATAATTTTGAGTGCTGAATACTATACATTGAAAATATTAATCACTAATTTTAACCAAACGAAATTCGCTAATGTACGTCAAAATAAACATCGAACGAGGTATACTTTAAATTTCCAACTTGTTTTAAATTAAACAGCTGATTTGAGAGTCTAGAAAATAAAATAAACTAATATAGTGTGTTTGACAATTGACTGACAATAAATCGTCAAATTTATCTAGGATATGCAGGTGATAAAACGCAATGAGCCAAGCTATTTTCTTTGGAGCTCATGCTAAACAGATTTCTGCAAGCTGTACAAGCTGTAAATAGCTCGGGAATTTTCATTGTTCTGTAAGCTAGCACAGCGGGGAGCTGCAGGGAGTTTTAATGACTTACGACCCTAGAAATCTGTACAAGACTATCTTGCTGCCGGATCTGTGCGCTGAAGGAAATCTGCTAGAATAGAGACAGATAGAGAAAGGGAGAGGGAGAGGGAGAGGGAGAGGGAGAGGGAGAGGGAGGGAGAGAGAGAGAGCAGCGGCAGTCCAAAATCGTGAAATTACTGTTATTACTGTGTAAGTGTCTCGTACTGCCGCACAGCTTTGCGTTTAGTTTATGCCTACTCACATGTACTCGCTTTTGTAATTCTTGATCGGCGAAACAACAGGTTAGTTTTTCCAAGAGTCAGTCATGCAACTAGCCCTCGTAATAGTCGCAGTTAAGATTGTCGATGCATATATACACACACACACACATACACATACCGATTGTTCAATCAATAGCAGTGGCATTAATAAATCAATTATGAAAGGTGCTGTAAGTGTGCTTATTTGCGGGCCATATGATACGTCCCAAAAAAAAGTCGACTTACATTCTTAAGTATTTAGGCGTCAGCTGATCCACGTGCGGTTGGCCTGGCTTTGCAGCTCGAGCACTGTAGATGACTGCAACTAACCAGCATGAAGATATTTACTGTCGATAATACTGTCGATAATCTTGTGCTGATTGCTCAAACTTTTATTACTTTAGTGCGCGTACTTTACTGTTATATTGTGCATCGAGCTGACCAGCTCTCCCTGGCCTGCGTGTCCGTGGAATTACTTGCAAGAGTAACAGCCGAATAGCTATCACTTCGGGTTTAAACACGCGCGTACTCATGCGATGGTCCGTACTACTTAAATATTTACGAGAACTTGTAAAAGGTTTTCTTTTGTCATGAGGACAAACTATATCTAGACGGGCCGGGTTGTATATCTCGTACACTATTACAGACTTGACAGCGTTTTTGGACCTAGAGTGGTAGTATTTAAGACGATTTTTAAGCAACTCTTCACTTATAGTCTGTATAAACTGTATATAATAATAATAAACACAACAATGAATAATCAATGGCTATTGATTTTTGGTATGCTTTCTTTTAACCATATTAACTTGATTACAAAATAATATTATAGTTATTTCGCGTACTTAACATTTATAGAGAAATTTCAAATGTCTAAATTTATGATATGCACATTAATAAGAAGTTAATTTTTTTAAAACATCTTATGTATGTTTTCTAAACTATAAATACTAGATTATTTCAAAATTATAATTAATGTACCGTAAAGGGCGTTCTATTGTAACAGTCAATTTGGAAAGTTTACTTTCGTGAAAATCTTCGGTTATCAGCATTATTTTCATTTAAAAACCTTTCGAAGATACAGTCATCAGTCATTAGTCATACATATAAAGTCATTGGAATATGATTAAACTCCATAAAAATAGTGAGAAAACCTATGAAATTATAGTATGTCATAAATTTTTGCGCTGACTATTTACATACTATTAGTGTAGCAAGAAAAATCTTCAAAGCTATATTTCTTTCTAATTCAGCGACATCCAGCATTGTGAGTGGTTAATGCTAAAGAATTTCGCGAAATTTTTAATTTCCGTATATTTTTTAAATATTTGTATTATATATCAATGAGTGTGAGATTTATGTCAGCAGTAAATTTAATTTATCAATAATTAACATGGATAATAACTTACAAGAATGTAAATATGCCCTACTTTGATACCATCTTTGATACTAAAATTAATATGGTCGACTTAAAATTACGTCTCTCTCTCTCTCTCTCTCTCTCTCTCTCTCTCTCTCTTCTCTCTCTCTCTCTCTCTCTCTCTCGGGCATAGTAATTTTTTAATAGATTAGTAATAATTTCTCTAGGCTCACTTATTCAACTGAATAGTCAGATTGGATATCAATCAATATTCCTGGCTCAAAATTCAGAATAATGAGAAATTCAAATATTTTTTTAATCAATTTTTTCTACCACAAAACATATCAATATCGAAATCTTTTAACTTTTAATTTTTTGATTTTTTAATTTTGATTTTAAAAATTTTTTTTTTTTTCAGTTTTTAGTTTATGTTATAAAATTTATCAAAGAACACTCAAATTTGTTCGAATTTTTTGGAGAAAATTGTTGATTTTCAAAAAGAAGTTAAAACGAATGAAAAGAATTCGCACAATGTTTGATAATATTTTGCATAAAAACTATAGGTTTTAGGAAAAAATTTATAAAAACAAAAAGTCTTAGAATTAGCCACAAATACTCTAGGAATTTTTCAGATATTTTTGATAATTTTTTTTAGAAATATTAATTTGGTGGTGTTTTGAAAAATCGAAAATTTTCTCCAGAAAATTTCAATAAATTTGAGAGTATTCCTTGATCAATTTTAAGACGTAAGTATCAATAATTGAATAATAAGACGCTAAAATCAGTGTTTGTCTTTTTTAGTTACATAAATATTTTTAAAAATCATCAAAACCTAAGGAATAGAAGTCGACATATCGACATATAAAGTACACGCAAGAAAATGTAATAGCGAATACTTATAATAGATTGGTAAGTATTAATAATTAAATAATAAGACGCTGAAACCAGTGTTTGTCTTGTTTCGCTATATCGATTTTTAAAAAAATTATTAAAATCTAAGGAATAGAAGTATCGACAGATAAAGAGCGCGCAAAAAAGTGTAATAGTTAATACTTATAATAGGTTAGTAAATATTAATAATTATAATAAATAAATATTAATAATAATAAGACGCTGAAATCAGTGTTTGTCTTGTTTCGATATATCAATTTAAAAAAATCATAAAAATCTGTGGAATATAAGCCGGGATATCGATAGATAAAGAGTACGCATTGATTTTGAAAAAGCTATTTCAATTTCCGTAATTGTCATCCCCTCCGCTATTCTTGGTCGCTTCTGGGGCTCAGATCGTCAATTTGACAATTTACAAGTAGTGTTTAGCGCGCTCCTTTTTTTCTTTACATTTAAGGTAGGATTCATTTTAATGCACGAATATAGATCACAGTTTTATTGACGAAATAGAATATTCAAAAATTCAATATGCATTAGATATTCTTTTGATTTGATGTGAGATATGGCCGACAATATTATTTATTGATAAATAAATATGCAGTTATATACTCGTGATTTCAAAATGTTATCAATGAAATTTTTAGTTTTTATCATACCAAATTCTGTGTTCATCATTCAAAATCATCATTTACAAGTTTGAAAAACACGATAACAAATGTATTGTAAGTTCTAAAAACATTATAGTTTTCTATAATCATATCCTTCACAATGTAAATAACATACTTCGGTATAGAATGTTCACAGTTCTAATTAGAGCCTTTTCAAAAAAATGTTATAATAATTTACGAAACTTAATAAAGCTAACTAAAACTGTACAATATTTTATCGTGATAATTGGCCAATTTATATCTTTCATGATTAACTTTTTTTATTTAAAGTTAAACTTCGCATAGAGCAAAATTCAATTAATTTCTGTACTGAGGTATCAGTCAGTCATTATTTTAGGTATGATTAAAGCGATTAATTTATATGAAATTCATGCTCACTATATTGATGCATTTTGCAAACATTAATTTTATCTATGGTATCTTTCATGAGCGTACACAATATATACCTATATATAATAATCCACAACAGCTGATTACGTAACTATTTTTCAGCCAATCAGCTCACGAATAAAATGGCTTCACTTTGCTAGGTTCTCTTTTTTTACAATAAAAAAAATAAGGAGGATAGGAGGATTATAATAGAATGATTTAGTCCATTTTTCTCCAAAAATTTTCATTTACGTCACACCGCACTAAAATTTGCTGATTTTGAGCTTACAATTAGAGCTTATAATTCAAACTAATAATTGATTTATTATAAATGAATACTGATTTATTATCCACAAAATATTGTACATAATAGAATAAATAAAATATAAATATTTTTCTGTTTAGTTCTGTCTTTAGATATATTAAATTTGTTTTTGTATGTATTGTTTTTTTGACACAAACAAACTAATAATACTTTATTCAAGCTTCTAAAAAATAACACGATGTCGTTTAAAATTAATTTGAAGGCGGTAATAATATGTTAACTTTTTTTGGTACAAACAATTAACTTATTGATACTTTACATAAAATGCTTGATGAATGTGCAAAGTAATGGAAGTAGATGTTGTTAACAATTTTTCGAGATCAAGGTTTCTGTGCTCTAGTGATAATTTAGGTACCGAAGTTTATTATAATTTTTCAAGTCAGCGTTTATTTTTATATTCTTTCACCAAATATTCTTCAGCAATCGTTTAATATTTGATTAGATATTAAATTTATTATTATTATATTATTTAATAAATTATTATTAAATTATTATCAGAGTTGTAGCTTTCTTTTAATTTTATTTTATTTTTTGACATACCTCATCCAAAATTAAGAAGATATTTTTCTGGTTTGCTTGATATTTCACTAGGTTTAGTTCATATTCTATTAGTATAATTAGAACCAATAAAATTATGAACAGTATTGATTGTTTGGCATTTAATAAGTTCAAATCTATTTGCTAATTTATGAAAAAATAAATATCGACTGTATATGCCATGTCGACCGCATCCACAATTACTAAAAAAGTTATTTGATGCAGTTTTTAAACGCTTTTTATTGAATTTTTCAATTATTTTTTCATCTATGAATAAAATATATGTATTATATTAATAATTTAAAATTCCTGTAGGTCATTCGATAAAATAACATTCCAAAAATTAAGAAGCAAAGTCCAAATGATAACATAGAATTTTCAATGGCCAATTGTAATTGATTTGTGCCCACTATGGGCAATGTCAGTCATCATGAGAAGATTATTAAACATTTAAACATTGGCAACAAATGTTCCAAAATCATTTCTTATATCTTTTGATAGTTCAATAAATATTTCTAATAGTTCCTTTGCTTCATTAACATTTCTTTCAGCGATCGCATCGTTCAAATCCTTTAAAACTTGCAATTCATCTTTATATTTATCAAGTCTGTCTGGTGTAAAAAAAGTTTTCAATTGCAAGCATATAAGAGTTTCCAATGCTATTCAACGCTTGTTTAACTACATGATTACCAAATATATCACATTCTATAAGTACATTAAGCATACCACTATAAGACAAATATTTTCTCACACAACTATAAGGAACGTTTTCGTTATGAAAATCAACAAGCATTAGAAACAATTTTTTCATTTGTTCATTTTTCATGAATTTTATCATATGAACAAGTTTATAGACGCCTTTGTCGCAAGTTACTAATAAATAATGTTACTTAAGTTGTTCTACGATTTCATTGAAATTACACAGCAATCAGGCTCAGTAACCGAATGAGGTAACAGAGGTAAAAATCCAGCTTGTGCACATGGGCGAGTGTTATTTTTAAACAACTAATGAAACATAGACTAAGACGGGACATTTTGTTACTCAGAATTGTATAATAATCATTTGTGTTATAATTCATCACTTTCAACACAAGCATTCATTCTGCATAAAAACTATGCTAGATCGACGATTATAGGACAAAACGTCCAAACCGAAAAGTCCAGACCAAAAAGCCCAGACCGAAAAGTCCAAAAGTAGGTCCAAACCGAAATATCCAAACCGAAAAATCCAAA